ATAAAGCGGTAAAGGAGAGAGAGAGAGTGTAGAAACCTCCGAGGCACGCTTTCTATTGATTCTTTAATAATTTGGGTACTTTTTGGCAGCCCTTCGCTCTTTACAACACCGGAATCTCTCAAAAACGCTATAAAAAAAACTCTATAAAACACTCAGAAACTCCGGAAATGCTTCGGAGGGGTTCTAGAGAGAGAATTTGAAGAGATTTCTAGAGAGAGAATGGAAGAACTGTGTGAAATGAGGGGAATGGCGAGGCTATTTATAGGGATTCGCACCTGTCAGGTTGAGACGGGTCGTCTCGTCTGACAAGGTCGAGATGGTCGTCTTGCCAAACGAGAAGGCGGTCTCGCCATCCGCGAGTGACGAGACGGCCGTCTCGCCAAACGAGAATGCGGTCTCGCCATTTTTACAAGGCGAGACGGCGGTCTCGAATCCGAGACGACGGTCTCGACCCTAAAAGGCGAAAATCCTTCTTTACATGCAGAAAATCCCTCCTATTCTAATATGGGGCCAAATAGTCTCTCCTAATGGTTTCCTAGGCTTCATCCATCTTCAAAAAGGAGGTCTTCTGGTCTTTATTATGAGGTCGGGCAAGATTTGGGGTCTACACTTCATAAAAAGATTCATCTGCTCCTTGTCTAAAAGAAGTAATGTCGGATTTCGCTTTGATGTAGTGGGATGGTGGAAAAAATCTGTTCAGAAAATTCTCTTCTACATTACTCCAATCAGTCAAACTCTGATTAGGATGTGCCTTCAGCCACTCCTTTTCCCTTCCTGCCAAAGAAAAAGGAAATAATCTCAAATATGCATATTCAAGATTTGTTGCTCTAAATCCCATGGTACCAATCAACTCATAAAAAGTAGACAAATGAATGTAAGGTTCTTCATGATCCAATCTAGTGAATTGATGAGCACTAATCAAGCTTAAGAAATCTGGATTCATCTTCAATGTTTGGTCGTCCAGTATAGCTATGCTGGAAAAGTGTCTTGGACCTTGCTGCATAACATAGTTTCTGAGTGTTCTTCTAGGTGGATTGGAATTTGAATTTTAATTTGGATTTAGATTTTGATTTGGATTTATATTTGCTCTGTCTTCTGCCATGTCTTCTATAATTGAGTCTGGTAAATTAAGTGTGGAAGGAGAGTTAACCGATTCTCCTGTGGCTTGTTCTTGAGTTTCCCTTCTTCTTCTACCCTGGTTCCTCCGAGCGGTTTTTTCAATCTCCGGATTAAATTCTAACTGCTCTGAAGATAGTGTCCTCTTAAACGCATAAATCAAAAGAGTAACTCAAGCAATATTAGCACAAGACAATAATTAAGCAAAATAAAACAAAATAAAAATAAAATACTTAATAAGCTAAACAAAGAATTCTCAAAGAACATCGTTCCCTGGCAACGACACCAGAAATACTTGTTCAATTATTGGAAAGCATACGAAAATTATCAATCGCAGTATAGTATTTCGATTAAATAAAAGTCGATCCCACGAGAAACAGTTTCAATGGAAATTCTCAATTATATGCTTACTAAGTGGATTAAAATAGAATGAGTTTTGCATAAAGAGTTGAATTGAAATTAAATGACAAAGAATTATAAATTGTTAAGAAAATATCAATTAAAGGAACTTAGGATTGACTTCCTTCATTTTTCCTCTTTTGTAATGGCCATGTCACTTAAGAACATCAATTAACCTAACAATGTTGATGCCACCTACTCAAATCATCCATGTTGATTCCTCACACATGAAATTCATAAGAAAACCTAATAAATGTTGATTCCTCACACAATTAAGAGATTTTCCAGCATTAGGTTAAGGGTGTTAAGCAATTGATACATTCATTCCATTCCTGGCAATTAACATAACAAATATTCTTACCGTGATCTAGGGTTCAAGATATATTTTCCAATCATATCCCAAAGATCAAGAATAAATCATTCCAAAGTGCAAAGGATAAGAATAACAACATCAAAACATAGATTAATATCTCAAAATATCACCATGATACAAAAGAGTTCAAAGGAAGTGCACCAAATCTCAAGAGAATGAAGTTAGCCACTCATATTGGCCATTACAATGCTCCAAATAAGGAAGAAGTGAAGAATTGATGAAGATTGGACGAAACCCTAGCAGTAGTCACGCCTCTTCTCCCCAAAACTGCTTCCCTTTCTCAAAACACATCTTATCTTTTTATAGGAAAAATTGGGTCTCGCGTCTTTCGCTCAAGCGACAACTTTTGCTCAAGCGACAACTTTCGCTCAAGCGAAATTTTCCTATTTTCGCTCAAGCGACAAAAAACTCGCTTGAGCGAGTGAACTCCAGAGAAAAATAACGAACATTCGTTCAAGCAAATTTTCTTGCGCTCGAACGATTGACTTCCAGAGAAGAATAATTGATATTCGCTCAAGCGAGAGTCCACCTCGCTCGAGCGACTTCCATGCTGAAAATATTCTTCCTTCTTCCAGTTTTACTCCTATTATGCTGACAATTATGCTCCTTACTCTTGTATCAATGTATTATCAAATTCATCCTATATTGGGAGAAGAATATATTAGAATTAACATAAGTTAAGTGGTTTCATAACAATTCAAGGCATAATTATAACAACTTTTTACCACTTAACATGTGACAAAAATGAAGGAGGAGGGTGAGCGAAATTAGGGTATAGAATATGCGATGACAATTATTAGTACTAATCATTGATGTATAGCACATATAACGACAATTATTAAAAACCTGTCGTCAAATAATTATTGTCTCCAACATTTGATGATGGATTTTTTTTAACCGTCATTGTATGTGTTGTATAATGACGATTATTTAATAATTTAAAAAATGTCATTGTCTCGCCTTTAATGATGGGTCTTAAATAATCGTCATCAAAAGACATCGTCAATACTCTATTTTACACTAGTGAGATAAACATCTCTATTAAGATCGGTGACACCATAATTTTATGTCTTGGTGTTAAGACAATGAGGGAGTCACGAAGGAGAAAACTCTTAGAAAAATGTGAAGGAAGTTCAAGTAGTTATATATGACAAGATCTCTTACACATAGAATTTGTTTGAAGAAAAAGTTATATTCATTCAAAATAATATAATCAAGAATGATGATAGATCAATTGGTAAAATATAACAAGATATTGGATGATGTAGAGAACATTGGTGTGAAACTTGAAGGTGAAAATAAGAGTTTTCTTTTTAATGCGTTATTATTTAGGACATTTGAGCATTTCAAAAGTTTCAAGAAAGTCAAGAGAGAAGAAGCTAAGAGAGTTTTTAGGGGAGAAGGTAAAAAAGGGAAAAGCCCAAGTGCTTTACCTATTAAAAAAGAGATTACATAATAAAGAATTCCAGAGGAAAAATTGATTTCTTGTTTTATGAAATAGTAAGTAGGTATTGCAATTGCTTTTGATAGTGATGATATAGAGGTCTTAGTGGCATTGATCTAGGATACACAAAGGAGTAGATCATTGACTCAGGTTGCACTTATACATGTATCCTATGAAAGAATTATTTCAAACCTTAAAACTAAAGAAAGGAGGTGTGATTGTCCTTGGAACAATAAAGTATACAAGGTGAAGGAATGGGGTAAATCAAATTGAAGATGTTCAAAGAATCAACAAGAGGATTTTTCATTAATGAGGGATTTATTTTTAGAGAAAATTTTTAATGTATTCCTAGAAGATCCTTGAAAACATTAGTTATAAAAGAGGCACATGAGAGTGGTTTAATGGGATGTTCTGGACTTTTTAAGACTTTGGAGGTTATTCAATAATATTTTTATTGGCTACATTTAAAAAAATATGTGCAAAATTTTGGTTAAAAATGTATTGTATGTAAAAAAAAAAAGGGTCCAATCTAAAGTTTTACCTCACAAATTACATAAACTTCTCCATATTCCTAACCTTCCTTAACATGACATTTTCATAGACTTTGTTCTTGGTTTGCCTAAAACAAAGAATAGGAAGGTTTTTTTTGTGTGTAATGGATAGATTTTCCAAAGATGACACATTTTATTTTTTGTCAGAAGGTAGATGATGCATGTTTAATTGTTAAATTATTCTTTAAATTAGTAAGATTGCATGAGTTTCTACAAAGATACTAAATTCTTTAACCACTTTTGGAGAATATTGTGGGATATACTTGTAACTAAACTATTATTCTCTATTACTTATTATCTAAAATAAGATAGAGAAACAAAAATGGTAAATAGAACTTTGTCACAATTTTGTTGTTGTTTATTATATAAATTTAAAGGAGTGAGATAAATTTCTTCCTCATGTAAAATTTGTCTATAATAGGATGATGAACTTTACAACCTCTTACTCTCAATTTGGGGTTGTATATGATTTTAATAATTTTATACCTCTAGACTTATTACCTTTTCTCAATCTTAAATCTATTTGTAATAATGGATTCAAAAAAAAAATTTAAAATATTTACATTTTAGAGTCAAGGTACAAAGAAGAAGGTTGAAAATATGCAAAATCAACAAATTAAGGAGAAGAAAAGTGACTTTTGAACCCAGTGATTGTGCTTAACTTCATTTAAGGAAAGAAATATTTCCTAATCAAACATTAGTGGAATCTGGCCATTTTATATCAAGATATTACATCAGTTATTTTATAACCAATATAGTTACAAAATTGTAATTTAGTAACCGATATAATATATGGATATTACACCAGTTTCAATTTTAATCAATGTTGTTATGCTTACGAGATAATTTCTCAACAACATGTCTTTCATTCCAACCACATGCATTGTAACAACAATAACAATATGTTTTCACTTTCTCTTTTCATGTAGTTAGGGATTCTTTCTAATTCAATTATTTTTTTTCCTTGTAGGTGTTACTTCTGTATTCTTTTGATATGATTTTGTTATCCTTACAAAATTACAAAACGTCTATACATTCCAAAGTTTTTGTCGATGTTATGGATTTCTACTTTTCAACCTCTCCTTTTAGATTATCTAGTTGTTTTCATCACATATCACTAGTTCCTTTTTGCAACTCGTGTGCTGCTAGCGTCTTCTCTACCAGCATCACATGTTGCTGGTACTTCCTCCATAACATCTTGTGATATTAATGTCTTTTTTACAACATTGCGTATTTCCAACATCTCCTCTATAGCATCTCGTGTTGCTAGCACCTCCTCCACAACTTTATAAGCTATAAAGGCCTCCTCCCATAACGTCATGTGCCGCCAGTACCTTCTCTTGTTGCAGCGCATGTCATGTTGAGATTCAATCATCAACCTAATTTGATTCTTGTAATAAATCATCAATCCTAACCATATGCTTTCTATCCAAATATGAACATAACCCATTGTGTTCCCATACTCAAAATCATGTTTAAAACTAAATGCGGAAGCATACTTGTGTTAGCCATAATGAAATGACAAAAGGTTAAAATTGATTTGATGATCTTCCAAATTATAAATAACCTTATTTTTGTTATTTGTGTTTTCTCTTCTGAAGGGATAATGATGAAAAAGGAATTTTAAAATATAATTTCGTGTGGTTTCCTCTCTACAATTGGGGACCATAACCTCTTGTATTTATAACTACCATAAGTTACCCTAAATTTTATAGTTATAATTTGGCCCCTAATCGAATTATAATATCACTATAGGTATCTACATAATTAGTCTTTCATGACATATATGCCCTTAGCCATAATTTTATATTAATTAGACCACTCTAATATTTTTAGTTAATAAAATAATGACCCTAACACATAATTATGATATATATATATATATATATATATATATATATATATATATATATCCTTACAATTCTTATAAATATGTTAGACTTTATTAGCTCAAAATTTGTCATTACATGCCTTGAGCATATTCCAAAAATCTTATCCATTGATTACATCCGCACATAGAACCAAAACAGTTTTCATTATATTAATCACAACTAAGCCCATTAATGATCACTAATGTTGATAGAATCAAACGACATAGACTCATCATGAAATGTATAGCATGAAAATAATGTGAAGGTGGCCTAATAATAAAACATATATAACTAAATATATCCAAAAATCAATGTATGCGTACATAAAAAGAAGCATAGAACATCAAAGTAACTAACTCCCACTAACCAAAGATTCCTCAAATTGTAAAACACCCATGTGAGCAACATGCTCATGAAAGACCTTGGGTGGAAGTTTCTTAGTAAGAGGATATACTATCGTGGAGTTTATCCCTAAGTGTTTTATGGAAATTTGTCTACTCTGTACCTTTTCCTTAACAACTAGGAACTTGATGTCAATGTACTTTGACTTGGTCAAGCTTCTATTGTTGTTAGAATACAATACAATTGATTTATTGTCACAATATAACTTAAGTGGTCTTTCAATTCCATCCACAATTTGTAGTCCTTTGACCTTTGGAATTCCTTCCACAAGATACGCCTTATACCTTTCCACATTACCTTTGGAGTCCCGCTTGGTCTTCAATATCCATTTGCAACCTATGGGTTTCACACCTTTTGGTAATGGGACAAGTTCCTAAACCTTGTTGTCTTACATGGACTTATACTCCTCATTCATTGCTTCAATCCACTTTTCTAAATTGGAATCTTGCATGGCTTGATGGAAGTTGATTGGGTCATTTTCCATCAGACTATTTTTTTTCTCATGTTCTTGGAGAAATACCACATAATCATCTAGAATAACACTTCCCCTTTCTCTTGTGGATCTCTGCAAAGGTATTGGTTCATGAAGCATAGGTTCTTGAAGATTTTCAGTTTGGTTTACATGAACAACCAAATTATCTTGATTGGGAGATTCAACAATAATATTTTGTAGAGGTTCTGAATTTTCTTTATCAAAAAATAATTGTATGAATCAGTTCTAGAATTGTTACTGATTCTTCCTCTAAGATAAAGTCTCTAACTTTATTTTTCTCCCAAACTCAATATCCTCAAAGAATGTGACAGTTCCAGTCTCAAAAATTGTCTTTAATTTGGGATCATAAAATCTACAACCCCTAGATCTTTCAAAATAAGTAATAAAGTAGTTGCTCACTATTTCAGAGTCTAATTTCCTTTCATTTGGTTTATAAGGCCTTGCTTGAAAGCACTGTGGGGAGATTGAAAGAACTATGGGAAGATTAGTAGCAATGTGAAAATTTTCCTACACTCTGAAGAAGATGATTTTGATGAAGATTCAAGTTAACACCATTCTAGACTTAAGCAAGCCTAAGATAAAGCCTGAAGACTAGATATACATTCTGAAGAAGATAATTTTTGATAAAGATTTAAGTCAATACCATTCAAGATTCAAGCAAGCCCAAGATGATTCCTGAAGACTAGATAGAGTCTTAGAATACTGGATTTGGAGGTAAAAGTTGATGAAGTGGTATTATGCATGCGTCTCCAAAGCACAAGTGTGATAAAATTTCGTAATATGACATTTTTCACTGTCATAATCGATTATGTGAGGGTCATAATCGATTATATCATCAAATAAACATAATATAACATTTTTTATTATCTTAATCGATTATATAAGTCACATAATTGATTATATAAGTCACATAATCGATTATGTAAGTGTAATAATCGATTATAATGCATCAGAAATGAAAAATCGATTTTCTCTCTATCATAATCGATTATACTGGTAACATAATTGATTATGACAGTTTAAATTTGAAAAATATATCCATTTTTGAATACTATATGTTTTTGGATATATCCTGATTTTTCTTTACGAAATTATTAATGACCAACGACTATTTTCTGATGTTATTTTCCTATTTAAATGAGTTTTAATGAGAAAAAAAAACACATAATCACATAATTCGAAAATACATATTACAGACAATCAGTTTTAAGAAATTCATTCTGAGCAAGGCAATAGAGCATTTTTAGGTTTTCTGAGAGAACTTTTTCATACTGCCTTCTACACTTTCATTATTAATCACACTTGTTCCTTGAGTTTAGTATTCTACAGGCTTCTACAATTTGTTATCTCCATTAGCAGGTGTGATTGTTCTTATTTTATTGATTGTGTCTCTTGATCAGTGTGCTTCTGTGTTTGAAGTTTCTATTGTCAGGAGCTATTTTCATCCCTTTGATTTGTTCGGGGAGGTGTTCATCCTTAGTGGGATTCTAAGGAGGTGTTTTCATCCCTTTGATTTTTTCAGGGAGGTGTTCATCCTTAGTGGGTTCTAAGGAGGTGTTTTCATCCCTTTGATTTGTTCGGGAAGGTGTTCATCCTTTGTGGGTTACAGAGGAGGTGTTTCATCTCAAGTGTGATTCTTAAGATGTGTGTGTTTCCTTTGTGGGAACTGTTCATACTCTAATTTGTTCAAAGGATGTGTTCATCTCTAGTGGGATTCTAGAGAGGTGATTGTCTTTTTAATTAGTTTGTTTTTTTACTTGTTCTTCTGTAAGGTTGATTGTAATTTGTAAACTGAATTTTAAAGACAGTGAATTGGGTTGTCTCTCCCGTATTAAAGGAGACAGGGCACTAGATGTAGGGTTGGCATGACCTGAACCAGTATAAATTTCTATGTTTTTCTTTTCCTTATACCTATGTGCTTACATCTACTTATTTCCTTCCCTTTATCTCTCTGATTATATTGCTTCCGCTTTATATGTATTTTATATGATAATTAAAATTGAATTACAAATTATTGGATATCTTAAATAAATAAATTTTTAATTTGACATCTAATTTAATTTGTGCATCTATTCACCCCCCCCCCCTTTAGATTCCATTTGTCTAACAAGTGGTATCATAGCTTGGTTAGATAAGTTATTTCTAAACGATCTATCAAGATGTCTATGTATAATCAGGTTTACAGGGAAGAAACCTCAATAAACAGACATCCACTATTTGAAGGTGAAAACTATCAATTTTGGAAGGCGAGGATGGAAATATTTTTACAAACATTGTATTATGGAGTTTGGGATGTTGTACTCAATGGTCCCTACATTCCGATGACGGATGGAGATACAGTTGTTCCAAAGTCCTTTGATAAATGGTCGCTGGATGAAAACAAGCGTGCCCAATATGCTGTAAGAGCCTGAAACGCTATTGTTTCTGCCCTAACTCGAAATGAATTTTACAGGGTATCACGGTGCAAGACTGCAAAATAAATGTGGGACACTCTTGAAGTGACACATGAAGGAACAAATGAAGTAAAGCGAACACACAAGAACACACTCATCTAGGAGTATGAATTGTTTCAAATGCAGCAGAATGAAAGCATCACAGATTTTCAGACACGCTCACGCATATAGTAAATCACTTGGAAGCTTTAAGAAAAAGTTTTGACAATGAGGAGCTGAATACAAAAATCTTGAAGTCCTTAGACAGGAATTGGCAACCAAAGGTCACTACTATTACAAAATCAAAGAATCTCACAGAAATGGATATTGCTACTCTATTTGGGAAGTTGCAAGAACATGAGATGGAACTACAAAGGTTAAAGAATCATGAACAGAACCAAGCCAAGATGATAGTTCTAAATGCAGTAAAAACTTCACAAGATGAAAATGAAAATGAAGGTGAGTTTTCAGACTCTGATATATCTTTCTTTGTTAAAAAAGTTTTCTCGGTTTATGAAGAATAGGAAAAAGGAACAGTAAAGAAAGGAGAAAATAAATAAGTATAATTGATATGGATGTGGAAAACCTGGCCACACCAAACATGACTATCCAGAACTTAAGAAGGATGTAAAAGAAAAGAAGAAAGAGAAAAAAAATATTTAAGAGCAAACGCAAAGCTTATATCGCTTGGGAAGAAAATGACTCTTCCACTACACAAGAAAGCTCTTCTGAAAGCAGTGATGAAGAAGAAGAAGCAAATTTTTACTTGATGGCAGAAAGTAATGATGAAGGTTCATCACAGGTAATTAGTACAAAGTCCTTAACTGCATATGATGAGTTGCATGAAGCATATCAAGAAATGTATGAAAAGTTTGACATTTTAGCTAAGAAATAACTGCACTTAAACAAAATTTCCATGCATTAGAAAATATTGTTGGTATTCGTGAAAAATAAAATGAGTGTTTAAAGAAAGATGTTGAGAAATTTAAAACTCTGTATAAAAATAAAGAAGTAACTAATCCTTGTGAAAATTGTAATCATTTGGAAAATGAGATTTTCAAGTTAGAGAAAATAATGATAAATTTTTCCAAATCTTCTACAAATCTTGATTTTATATTAGGTTATCAAAGAGGGGATTCTAGCAAAGCAGGATTTGGTTACAAATCCAAGAAAAATCTAGAACCTCACAAAATTATTTTTATGAAAG